TGACAGGTACCGCTTTCATGCGGGAGAGTACAACCCTTGGCGTCTGTAATACCAGTCCTAATAAGATAAGGGTTGTCGCCTTCAAGGGGTATGTATAGATAACGCTTTCGTTTGTGCGTATACGTGCGAACATATTTTGTGGAATTGAGTTGCCGGGGCTTCCAACTAATTATTGTGAGGACCCTATGGCTATCAAAGAACCGCCTCCATCCCATTACCTGCCTCTGCAGCCACCCTCTGTGTCCATTTACCGCTTTCCCTTAGCCAAACTAGTAAGTTTTTTTTATTTTTTTTAATTGTTTCAAGCCACAAATTACTAATTATTCTATGAAAACTTAATATAGAAAAGCAGAAAAATTAAATTACACCAAAACTATAATTTACTAAAAAGTACAAAAATTACGAAATATTAAATATACAAAAATTTAGTCTTATATTTAAAAAAGATTTACTCTTACGCCTGAACCGGAGAATTCGGGGCAGCACTTTCCGATGCAAGATGACGTCAAACTGAACTTTAATAAAAAACAAAAGAATTATTTATNATTTGAGTGTAATTTATGCAACGACCGTTTTACAAGGAAAGATAGCTTGAACACTCGCATAACGACCGTTCATAAAGATAAACACTTGACATCATCATATGGAGAAAGCAGCGAAACAATTGCGAAAGATGAGAACAATACCTGCAATAGAAAATATATATACAGACCTCTCAGTGATAATAATGATCAATTGTCAAACATGGATAATGATGATGAACAAACAGATTGTGAGAGTAACGAAGATATGCTAGAAAGAGAGATTAGAGTCGACCCCAATGAACTTGTAAATGATTTACGTTATTATATCGAAGAGTGTGGTTTGACTAAAGAACATCGTGTCTGTAGTGACATTATCAACAAGCTCCATGATATGGGAATAATTCAGTAACTTACCAATAATCTCCAGCAGTAGTTTTATTAGCTGTAGGCGTTATCGTGTCTCATCATCTTAACGTTAGGTCTTCAGAACTGTTACGCCATCAGAGGCGCCTGCGCAGTCGCCGTCTTCAGGCATCGGCGGGGTGATCTTCAGGCATCGAGCTAAGAATAAAATAAATATTGTCATCACAGTGTCTGTAATCATTCTTCATCTAACATTCAAAGTGTTCACACGTGCTTTTAACATAATCTCAAAATGACAAGTCTACGAGATGTTTGCTTCGAGCAAATCCAAGATCAATACTGGTACGGTTTATATGGAGATTTTAAGATTATTATCGACAAGGACACCGGTTACTTTAACGCTACAAAGCTATGCCAGGATGGCGGAAAAGAGTTTAAATATTGGCTACGTAATAAAAGATCGAAATAACTTATGCGGTATTATGTATCAGAAAGCGCTCGGGGAGAAAAGTATCCGAGCTCATACTATATACATGGAAATCAATATGACATTATTTCTGGAACCTACTTACCCAAAGAGTTGTTCCTGGATATTGCTTGCTGGGTATCTCCGGAATTCTACATGAAATGCAGTAAAATAATTGAAGAATATTTTGTAAACGAATTCAAGGTCAAGTACCAACACGAAAATGAAGCCCTGATGGTCAAGTTGCAAGATTTGGGGACACGGAACGAGAAGCTAGAAAATTACGTTGAAGATATAAGTCAAAGGTCGTTAACCCGAACAAACGACACATGTTTGCTATAATACAGAAAAATCAATCAACCGAGTATCCGTACTACATCATTAGAACTCAGAGAAGACGTTTCCCGCAATCCTTGAAAAGGTTGCAGAAGAAGCACCCGAAAGCGTCGTGGCGGATTTAGAGTATAACCCCAACAGTATCAGCCTTTTTTATCGTATCAAGGACGAAATACCGTTTATTACATGCTAATACAATGATTTTAAACTAGTAAATACACCGATTGAAATGTTTGTAAATGACGTTAATAAAATGCTAGAAATAGATTAAAATACGAGCGCAATTTAATTTCTTACCCCCTCCTACATAATAAGAATACCTTGAGCAAGCATCTCATTCTTGTCTTGTTCTTGGTAGTGACAAGTCGTGGAAATGAAAACAGCATTCTACTTTAATGCAAAAGCCTTGAGAGAGATAAGAAAGCTAAATATTCGCGACGATGTATTAATTAACAAAAAAATGCTTACAACAATTTCATTGGTGACGCTGAAAACGCAATCAAATCCAATCCTAATACTTTCTGGAGTTTTCTGAATTCAAAAAAGGATACCAGTTCTATACCTTCATCTATGATAAATAATGACCACTTTATAAATGATCCTCAATTAATCGTTGACACATTTGCAGCATTCTTCTGTAACGCATTCATTTTCTCCGAAGAATTTAATAACACTGTGGAAAGTAACAATTGTCATGTATTACATTTGATGAAAATCTCTGAGTCCGATAATATAAAGGCAATTAAAAAACTAAAAAACAATATGTGTATGGGCCCTGACCTAATTCCAGCATTTTTGATTAGAGATTATTTCGCTGTAATCTTCTGCAAACCTTTGCTTATCCTATTTAATCGTATACTTGCATCTGGTGAATTTCCTGATGACTGGAAAGTATCGCGTATAACGCCTGTCCATAAGAAAGGAGCAAAAAATGAATTCTCAAATTATAGGCCCATTGCTATCTTAAGCAATTTCTGTAAGGTGTTTGAGACTATTTTGCACAATTTTATATCATCCCATACTTCAAATATAATTATTCCTGAACAGCACGGGTTCATACAAGGACGGTCAACAATTTCAAACTTACTGTGTAAGACACAATATATTTCTGCAGCTCTTGATGTCGGAAGTCAGGTCGACGTCATTTATATGGATTTTTCTAAAGCGTTCGATGGACTCGATCACTCCAAACTGTTAAATAAACTTAGCAACGTAGGTCTATGTAATGGTTTAATAAAATTATTTCATTCATACCTCCGTAACCGATCCCAATATGTGCAATATCGTGGGTTCAAATCAGATGCGTTTCTTCAAACATCAGGTGTACCTCAAGGGTCCATACTTGGACCTCTTCTGTTTAATATTTTTATTAATGATATTGCCGAAGATTTAAACATTATTTATTATACGCTGATGTAAAAATATTTGGTCAGATCAACTCTGTTTTGGACTGTGAGAATCTTCAGAGAAATCTTGCTTCACTTAATGATTGGTGTAATAAAAATACGTTGTCTCTTAATATTAACAAATCTAATGTTATGTCTTTTCATAGGAAAAAAGTGCCTATCACATTCGAATATGTATTGCAAGGCAATGTTCTCAAGAGGCCTGATTGCATTAAAGACCTTGGTATTATTTTTGACGCGCAGCTGAGTTTCTTGCGGCACATCCACGGTTCCTTAGCCGATGCGTATAGGAGTCTCGGATTTGTTTTGAGAAACTCTCGAGACTTCAGAAACCAGTCCACTCTGCGATTATTGTATATAACTTTTGTAAGATCCAAATTAGAATATGGTTCAGTTATATGGAACCCAATTTATATTACATATACCTTCTTATTAGAACGGGTACAACGAAGATNATTATCATCGACAAGGACACCGGTTACTTTAACGCTACAAAGCTATGCCAGGATGGTGGAAAAGAGTTTAAATATTGGCTACGTAATAAAAGATCGAAAGAACTTATGCGGTATTATGTATCAGAAAGCGCTCGGGGAGAAAAGTATCCGAGCTCATACTATATACATGGAAATCAATATGACATTATTTCTGGAACCTACTTACCCAAAGAGTTGTTCCTGGATATTGCTTGCTGGGTATCTCCGGAATTCTACATGAAATGCAGTAAAATAATTGAAGAATATTTTGTAAACGAATTCAAGGTCAAGTACCAACACGATAATGAAGCCCTGATGCTCAAGTTGCAATATTTGGGGATACGGAACGAGAAGCTTGAAAATTACGTTGAAGATATAAGTACAAAGGTCGTTAACCCGAACAAACGACACATGTTTGCTATAATACAGAAAAATCAATCAACTGAGTATCCGTAGTATCATTAGAACTCAGAGAAGACGTTTCCCGCAATCTTGAAAAGGTTGCAGAAGAAGCACCCGAAAGCGCGCGTCGTGGCAGATTTAGAGTATAACCCCAACAGTATCAGCCTTTTTAATCGTATCAAGGACGAAATACCGTATATTACATGCAAATACAATGATTTTAAACTAGTAAATACACCGATTGAAATGTTTGTAAATGACGTTAATAAAATGCTAGAAATAGATTAAAATACGAGCGCAATTTAATTTCTTACCCCCTTCTACATAATAAGAATACCTTGAGCAAGCGTCTCATTCTTGTCTTGTTCTTGGTAGTGACAAATCGTAAAAATGAAAACAGCGTTCTACTTTAAAGCAAGAGCCTTGAGAGAGATAAGGAAGCTAAATATTCGCGACGATGTATTAATTAATCAATGGTACTTGGATAAACAGCCTTCATGTTATATACATTATGAAGACGAAAAACCTGTATCGTTTGCCTTGCTGTCTAAAATGAACTTTGACCCCTTCAACAAGCATTCAAATCCAAAGACGTTGAACTACATTTATAGGCTGGAAGCGCATCGTAGAAAAGGACATGCTACAGCCCTTGTAGACCATGTGAAAGAACGTGAACAGTTTTCGGCGTTTTGCAGTAATGAAACTTCAGAGAATTTATTTAAAAAATGCAAATGTAAAAATTACGGTGAAATGTATTGTAATGTTATGTACAGATATCCTTAATAAAATCTAATTATGCTACTCTATTTTTTTATTTCCACCTTTTGCAATATTAACTTGAAAGACGTGTTTGATTTAATTTGATTGAGAAATGTTTTTCAACTCTCTCTCTACTATTAGTATCTCAGACACGCCCACACAATTACGAGGAAAATTAAAAGCAGCGATAAAATTAATTTTTTATTTAAATTAGAATACAAGTTAGTAAATATATACAGAATGTTACACACACGTCACATAGAAAAACAGGTTAAAGCTTAGGTCTTTTCCATCCGTAGGGCACCGAGCTGTGGTCGTCCAGGAACCGTCTCTTTACGGAGAGAGGTTTATATAGCTTGGTTTGCTGTACGGTTATCACCTCGTGCTCCTTGGTCCTCAAGATGTTTCTTGAGGCTACGCATACCGGGCTGGTGGTGGAAGTGTCCAACACCATATCTTTTATGGTATCGAAATTTATCAGCTGTGATGCGGTGTAGTTAAGGGATATACCCTTAACTTTACACACCACCTTCTCTTCGTTATCGCTGGTAGAGAAAGCCTTATATGCGTAGTTCTTGGGCCCTCCGCTTACAAATTCTGTGATATAGCTCCCGTGTTCCAGTTCGTCCGTCATGTCGCCGAGGAACTCACCCGTTGGTACGCCGTATACTCCATCTTTGGCCATGTAAATGACAGAGTCCGTATTGTAATACAAGACCCTGTCGCCCAGCTGCTCCAGGTAACTGTACAGCTTAAGACGGGCTTGAGTGGTAACATAAGCAGCAATGACGACATTTACGGTGGTGAGTGGATCGTAGGCCTCCTCCTTGTGCTCCCAATTGACGACGAGAGTGTCTTCGTTGATAGGGAGCGCCGAGTTAACGTAGATGCTGGGGTTGGTGAGCATACCGAAGAATTCTGAGGGGTTTCTTACGATGGATGTTTTGGGCTGGTTCTCCCTCTGTCCCAGTTTTCCCCAAAAGCTGTTCAAAATGAGTTTTGCGAGAGACCGTAGCCTTGGGTTCTCCAAGATCTCCGTAAACTCGAGCTTAACATCTTCCCTCTCGAGAAATTGCTCGATGTAACGCTCCTTCTCGTCTGTGGTACAATGGGCGGGCCAACCGCACGCCTGCTGTTTTACCTTGACGAACTTGTTCATCATACTGGTGAAGAGACCTCCAGTCTTTGCAACCTTATCGTATTGATCTATTTGATAAGACCATATCTCGCGGATCTCCAACAGACGATAACCTTTTTCAACGGCCTTTCGAACTTCGTCGACAATCCATGTCCCTGTCAGAGCTCGTTCTTCGTCGCTATGCTGACACTCGCCTTTATTCATTTGTTCTCCGCAGGTGCGACAGAGAACAAACAGCAGCTTATTGTTCATCTTGGTAGGGAGCACAGGGTGGTACAGATTCTGGGACGGGAGGATCTTACATTTAATTACCCCGTCAACAATGCTCAGATCTGTCGGGCATTCCTAACCCACATAAACTTTTGGATGTCCTATGGGGAACTTGCCGTACTTGCAGACCCAGGGGTAGAGGGAGCAGACATCGACGTATTTGATTTTCTCCCCTGGACCGCACTTGTAGTATTCGACTGTGTTCCCTGTACGGCCTCCGTAGAAAGCATCTCTAGGGTTTAGCGGTGTTAGGGTTACGAGTGGGTGGTTTTCGGTATAGTTGCGGATTTCGAAGTCGTTCTTCTGAAGGTTACGCCTAAACTCACATTCCCACATCTCAACGACCTCGTAACCAAGGCCTAGAAGTCTTGATGTTTCTGCTATGGTGGTTTCGTAGCGAGTGTTTAATGTCTGAGAAGGATCTTCAGGCATGGGGATGTCTCGATTGTGCTTGTAACACGCGGGGCAGCCGTGATAGTAGCAGCCGTGGAACTCAAACACCTGATTGCTCTCTGCGGCATACCCATCGACTTTTACACCAGCGACTCGAGATTCTTGCTGTTTAGCGGCGTGTTGGATGTTTATTTGTCGCTGGTGTTCCTCCCACACAAGCCATTGGATAGCTATCTTGCTTTGATTGTCGCGCCATCTGTAGCCGCCTTTGGGGATGATGCCGATGGTCTTCGGCTGTAGGAAATTGCGCCTATACACCTTATTGCAGGCAGAGGCTATGGTACAGGCTTCCGTGTACGGGCAGACGTTTCCCGTTTCCATCAGCTGCTGTCGGAACTTGAGACATGCTGCTGTTAGGATCTCCATATCTGATATACAATATTCGACGAGATCGCGCTGCATGTTAATCTCGTCGTTTTTATGTTCCTCGTGCCACTCGAAAAACTTGGAGCGATCTTCCGGTTTCATATGATCGGGGTCATAGTATTCGGCGGCTGGTAGGGGACCCACGTAATTTGTGTTGGCTGCAGTGTTGAAAAGATGGGGGAAATAGCCTTTCTTGAAATTATCACCCAAGCCGAAAGCCTTGGGCAACTTGGACAGCGCCATGGGGAAATAATTTAGACTGTCCAGGAACTTTACGTTCTCCACGACCATGGAAATTATTTTCGTCCCTCGCATGATGAGTTCGGGGGTCAGGTCCGTCTGCGTCAGGATGTAGTTGAGGCAGAACTGGTGGTCGAAGGTTTGCTCGTTGTGAGCCATAACCACCACCTGCTTGAATTTTTTCCTCATGGTTATGAGGTGGTGGAGGAATGGTGAAATGGGCTCGTTGCACCTTAAAATCTGCAGTCTAACACCGCATTTACTACAAATTTTCTGTGGCATGTTGAGGCATGTGTCGCAGCATTGCTTAAAAACGCAGAGATTTGGTTCATGCAGGAGGAACCATCTTCTTGCGCCTTCTCTTGCCGGGTCTCCAAATCGTAGAATACAAAGAGAAGGCCGTCGGTTTTAGGCTTCCCTGTGTTGGGTTGCATGTAACACAGATGATCAGCCGGCACATGGGCGTTGCATATCTTGCAAAAAATTTCGCCGCAAATATGGGTTCTGCCTTTTTTTACCACCTTGAGACAGTCGGGGCAACGGCAAATCTGCTCGCAAACCGAGGTCTTTCCCATTGATCCCTGGCTCCTATGATTGTCGTAGCATTGTCGGCCTCTGAAACTACGCTGACACTAGGAACAGGTAACGGCAATATCTTCGGGACATACTGGGGACTGTTGGCATGCCGGGCAGGTGCCGCCACACCTATGATCTTTTTTAGTATTATGTGGGACCTGACATCTCTCGCAATAATAATCACAGCAGAAGGTAGCCGTCAGCGAGGTGATAATATTATAGTGCCCCTTGTGATACATTAAATTTAACGATGGACCCTCTGTGGAGCCCTTAAATATCATGTCACGCCCCTTGCTACCGTACTGGTACACGACGATGCGGTAGTCGGAGAGATACCGCTGGAACTCCTGCAGCTCAGGGATACCTGCGCCCTCTTCAGGTATGACAACCCCTGCCACCCGCATTAGATCTTGAGCTCGCAGAATCTGCAGCTTTCCGATATCTCTACGAACTTTTCTATACTCAGTGTCCTTGTCCACGTTGGCTTTTGCTACGACGAGAGCGTGCGGCAAACACAAATTGTCTTTATTGTTTATGGTAACAATACCACGCCGCTTGGCACACTCCTCGTTGAAGGTGTTGTACTTTTCACCATGTCCTTTCCCGACAGGTATCTTAATCGATGTCACGCCTAAACAGAACGTCTCAGTGTTGAGCCCTGCGGAGTTGGACTGGTATACGGCGGAGATGACGTCCCATACGTCGTCGCAGGTAACTTCTTTAGCGGGTTTAAAGCGGACCCAGCCGTCACCTCTGGCAAAGTCCTTGGAACAAAACGAGAAAGACACCTGGTCTTCGGGGTTAAGGTGTTCGGTTCCCTGTTGAATTATTTGGTTGACAGCTTCCTTAACCCATCCAACAGGTTCTTCACCGACGGGTACCGGCTTAATTTTAAACTCCAAGGTTCGCCCTTGTATATTGAAGCGGCGGACCTTCTTCATAGTATCTCTAAGTATGAAAAATTTAGACTTCTTGCACTGGTGGTAGTCTGAAAGATACCAAAAGCTGATAAACGCTTCCTACCGAAAGTAAATTTGAAAAACTTACAAGCTGATTGAATATCGTCGAGCACGAGAGAAGACTAACTGTGATCTTAACACTTCAAAGATCGAAGATAAACTGACTAGAAGACCGTAGGGGACGCATAGTTATTACCTTTCATCTAACTAGTGCCGATAAGTGCATGCATGAAAAGAGGTCACGTGATTAAGATGTGTTTGGTTAAAAAATAGGGCGTGATTCACACAAAAATTTCAAAGTATACGAGAAAAATAAAAAATTTCTGATGTGAGTTGAACGAAAAGATAGTGAGCGCTTTCTACCTACTGGGCAAGCATATCATCGATCCGAACAAAAAGAAAAAAATCGATAAGACCCGCTATCTTACTGCAAGACGTTTAATTTGATATGCGACACGCCATATTTTTAAAAACTCACCTTTATTGAAGAAGTTTCAACACCTTTTTTAAAACTGATAATTATTTCAAATGTGATAACAGCATGACGTAAAACGTGATAACGTGACGTAAACCTTATACGCGTAGTAAATTACTAGTTGAGACATGTTGGTGGAGACATACTCGTTCATCCTTCACTAATCTGTTGAGATGTACGATGAGGTGGTGCTTGCGAGACTAGGAAGATGGGAATTTGGGCTGGTGGTCGACTTTCTTCCTCACGTTAGCGTGACAGGTACCACTTTCATGCGAAAGAGTACAACCCTTGGCGTCTGTAATACCAGTCCTAATAAGATAAGGGTTGTCGCCTTCAAGGGATATGTATAGGTAACGCTTTCGTTTGTGGGCATACGTGCGAACATATTTTTGTGGAATTGAGTTGCCGGGGCTTCCAATTAATTATTGTGAGGCCCCCTACGGCTGTGAAAGAACCGCCCCTACCCCATTACCTGCCTCTGCAGCCACCCTCTGTGTCCGTTTACGGATTTCCCTTAGCCAAACTGGTAAGTTTTTTGTAATTTTTTTTAAATTGTTTCAAACCACAAATTACTAATTATTTTATGAAAACTTAATATAGAAAAGCAGAAAAATAAATTATTTTATGTAGAAATTACGTCAAACTGGTAAGTTTTTGTATTTTTTTAAAATTGTTTCAATCCACAAATTACTAATTATTTTATGAAAACTTAATATAGAAAAATTTAGTCTTATATTTTAAAAAGATTTACTATTACGCCTGAACCGGATAATACGGGCCATCACTTTCCGGTGCAAGATGACGTCAAACTGAACAGAAAAATTATTTATTAAAAATTATTTATGTGAAAATTAGGTCAAAACTATACTTTACTAAAACTGTACTTTAATAAAAATTAAATATAGAAAAATATGGAAAATGATGAAAAAATTATTTTACGAAAAATAAAATCTGAATATTTTTATGTAAAAAGTCAATAGTAATTTTTAATTGTAAGGAAAGACCCTATAACATTCAATAATGTCCTAAGTCACAACGGATCTGTTTAGTTTGAAACACTGCCGTCGAGATGTTTGAATTGCGCTACGAGTATGGTACCGAACAATTATATTTTGAATTTGCCCTAACCACAAGACAGCCATTTTTATCGTTTCGATAGCCCGAAGGCCTTTCGCGTTCACGGGCGGATTTAAGTTTTTCGCGTGTGGCTGAAACCTTTTTTCGTTGGCAAGGAAAAATCCAATGATTACCCTTAGGTAATCGTTTAAGATAGACCCCTACACGACACGGGTACCGTATCAAGCCAGCATATTTAACTGTGTATTGAATCGGTACAAACGACGCGATCTGAAATGCAGAAAAATCTAGCAACTTACCCTTCGTATGCCTTCTTTCTTCGTGTCTCTGTCATTCTGTTATCTTGTTTTGAACTTCATGCCTCTGTAGCCGAAAAATTCATGCCTTTCTGTCCTGGTTAGACTTTCAATTGTCTATAAAATTAATGCTTTAGATTTTTAGCCGCCATCTTGTTGTTGAATAATTTGTAACTTTTTATAAAGACTCTGTAGCTATTGTTTTTGCTTAACTGCTAAATTAACACCCTGTATAATACTGGTTTTAAATTAAAAAAAATTCAATCTGATTTTGGTTTTGATTTTTATGATTTTAGTAAATTGCCTTTATCTTTTTTCGATAAAGATTCGTCTAATTACCTATTGTTTAATTGTTTTTGGTTCATTTTTCAGTTACTATAATAAAGCCCTGTATTATAGGAGGATTATACTTTTTATTTAATTTTCGGTTAGTTAACGTTTATTACGAATAAGTGATTTTTTTCTGTATTAAATAAGCTGTTTTACCAGCTAAATTATAGTTTTTAGAATGTTAATATGTTTTGAGGATTTTTTTAGTTGTTTTCCTGTTGAAATAAGCCAATATTTTTAATTATATAATTTTTTCCTATGAAAAAAAATAATTTGCCTAATTCTAGTTAAAGATTAATGCTTTAAATACGATTTTTATTAGAAATAAGCCATTTTAAGAGCTAATTATAGTTTTAGAATACATGGACTGTGTATTAAAACTGAAAAGTAATCAGAAATGATGATATTCGAAGCAACTTACCCTTCGTATGTCTTGTTTTTGGTTTCCATGTCTGTCATTCTGTAGCCAAAATTCATGCCTTTCCAACGTTGCTCTCTCTCTGTCTTTCCGCTGCCTATAAAAATAATATAAAAAATTAATTCTTTAGATTTTTAGCCACAATCTTGTTGTTAACTAATTTGTAACTTTTATAAAGGCCCAGTAGCTATTGTTTTTTATCAACTGCTAAATTAAGACCCTGCATAATGGTGGTTTTAAATAGAATTTTTCTTCGATAGATAATAAACGTATAAGTGAATTTGTTTAATATATCACTAATTTTGGTAGCTGGTTTGACTTTTATAATTTAATGCTAATATTTTTAGTTATAGAATTTTTTACTATGAAAAGTAATTGCCGTTTAAGATTATAACTGCTATACAAAGCTACGTTTTTAATTGAAAATGTGTATATAGACTTACCTTTCTTTATCCAAAAGGATACACACAAAAAGCACCACTCACTATAATAGTCCGAGAAACTTTTAACAAAAAACAAGCAGAGCAAACTCATTGATTTTATGACTAATTATAAAATTGATTATTAACAGTCTTAGCCAAGAAAAGCCGCATAGTGCAGTGACTGCAGTTGATATCGCCAGAACAGGCCACTGGCTGTTTTGCTGAGAGCAAAAGGCAGCTGTGCTAGCGTTTGTTAACTTGGTTTTCTTATCACACACCTAAGCAGAATAATTTCTATTTCAATACAATTTGCTATTTAAAACAATTTATCATTGGGCTTTAATATGAACTTAAGAAATATATATGAACATTTAAGACGAAGAAGGATTGACCCTTTCTGTTCTATTTTAACAAACATTCCTAAAGTAAATTCCAGTAAATATTTAGCCGCAGTTTGTAATACTTAAATATACAGGCATATTTATTAGACCCGCGCTCCACTTGCAACGCCATCTACGGATACACGCTCGGCCGCGTTATAAACTACTATTGCGAATTGAAAATTACGGCTACTGTCTACGTCACGTTGGGGCCCGCGGTGGCGGGCGAAGCCCTATACAATTTAGGTATACCTACGCGGGGGACACGCGGAGGCCTACGCACAATACTCTTGTCTACGTGGGGAATCCTACATACCTACATGAAGATACCTGCATGAGGGCCCAGGGG